ATAAAGTAGGTTTTTAAAAATATTTTTTACTTAGAAAGTATATTGCTAAAATTAATTGTTAAAATTTTATTATAAAATTTAATTTTAAAAAAATTAATATAGACAAATTTGTCTGTGTTACAATCTAAGAGATAAATATTAATTGGCTTAAGTCAAATGAACTTTCAAATGAGCTTATATGAGATTAATTTGATGCTTCAGAATGCTTAGATACACTTTGTTGATTGGCTTCGATTGGCTAATTTCTTTTGATAATTACATTATATTGAATTAATCTGTTTTAAAGAGCTTTAATAGAAGCATTAATTGAGGCAAAATTATTATAACATGTTTTCTCAATATTATTAATTCTTATAACTATATTATTGAAAAGTTTTTGTACCTCAGAAGTATAGCCAGAATTATGTGAATTAATTTTTTTGATTTCTGCAGTAAGTTTATCATTAAGTTGAATATTAATTTTGCTGAGCTCTGCAGTAAAAGAAAAATTAATTTTAAATAGATGTGCAATAAGTTTATTTGTAATTTTAGTATTAATTTTTGTAATAAGTTGCTGTCTGATAAGATATATAGTGAAGCATATAGCAATGAAAATTAGGTAAATAGTGATTTTCTTAGCAAATATCATTAGATACACAAAAACCAAAAAAAATGCAATTTTTAAAATATTAATTGAAGATATTTATTACTAGAAAAAAAATTATTACTACTGATATACAAATATGAAGTAATCTAGCATATATGCAAATAAAAATCAATAATAATTTGTGTGAAACAGATAATATGAGTGGGTTTATTAGTAAGACAACTATGTTTAAAAAATATTTTTATTATCTTAAAGTTAATATACAAGATGTTAAAGTTTATTAAATATTTATTTTTTATTTTTATAGATATTACTAATAAAGTGTAGAAAAATTAAATTAAAGATTTTTGGATCTCTTTTATACAAGATTTCATAATTGAACATATAAGTGACATTGTTTTGCAATAAATCTAATTAATTGTCTCTATTGGTAAAAGCCCAAATATACTAAAAAATATTAATTACATTATTTTTTTTGGTATTAAGGTGAGGCCTTGCTCATATTTTTATTAGTAATTTTAGTTGTACATATTAATATACTATATA